ATATCGGATGGATCAATCTCATACCCGACGCCATGGGTGAGGTCGACATGAGGATCCATGGGTCGACGCTGAAGTTCCGAGGGCCTGGGTACCATGACAAAGTAAGTGATTTCGCCGCCTGGTGGAAACATTGTGAAACTTCGGCTGATCAAGTTATAGAATTGGTCTGATCAACCTTTTACAGACTCTGTCCAGAGCTGGTACTGGGGTCACGGCCGTCTAGGTCCATATTCGATCGTATGGTTCAGTTATCTCGCCATTAATGACCCAAGCAACGCCACTTATGTGAGCAGCTACATTGCCAAAGATGGGGAGCTGCTTATATCCGCCTGTGACCCCGCTATTCTCACCGTGAGACCGATGGGTAGTCCGGAGACTACTGGTGGGCGATATCCGCCTCGGATAGGTGATATACCGGAAATATTCCGACTGAAATATGATCTGGGAGAGGGAAATGGTCAGTTGAAAATTAATGTCTCTGTAAGAATGGTGGTCGCGGGGAATGGGAAAGATTATATGAGATGGACGGGAGACATGGTTGGGGAGGTAATTGAGTCTGAAAGCCAGCGTCCAAAGGGGGCCGGAGGTGGTGACCCGAAGGAACGTGATGTACGATCATCTTCATCTTCATCTCTCGTTGGTGTTGCGGTTTTGGAGCAATTTGTTATGGTGGATGATGCCGAAAATGAGCATTATCAAAGAATATTATAACATGTTCATATAACATACTCACACATAGTATAGAAAACATCATTCTATTGTCTTGAATCTTATGTAAAAGAAAGAACCGAGAGTATCTTGGAGACACTTGCGACACGCGAAGGGGAAAAAGGGGAACAAACTAATACACATCAGACAACATGAAATGAATGAAAATGAATGAATGACGACACCCGCAACATTACTGGATTCTTTGCTTAGCTTTCCACTCTTCGACCAGACCCCGGTAATCTTCAGGACCATATGGCTGGAGGCACCGGGCAAAGAAGCCGTGCTTGCGTTGTGCTGACAGACCCAGTTCTCCCAGCATCAGATCGATATATGGGATCGCGTCAAACACGAAGTCGGGGTTCCGTCGCCCGAATCCTCCCGGGTAGCGATATTTGCCAAATTCAGTAAACAGAGCTGTCTCCCAGGCAAGGTCGATTTCTGAAGTGTCTTCCGTCTTGAGGTCAGACGTAGCACGCACAGCGAGTGGGCAGCGTTCGTGTGTAGCTGGGGTCAGATCGCCTTTGAAATAGGCTGAGATCCACAGTGCCTGAGTCTGAGCAATCAGAGTTGTGTTGATAGTCATGGTGATACCCATGAACGCCAGAGAGCGTTCCTTTACCAGCGAAAGTGGGACCATAAACTTCGCCATCCGGAAGGGGTGCGGCACAGCCGCTTCGGACTGCGCGTCTAACGGCGTGTAGTTCGGGTTCGGCTTTGGTTGATCGCGCAGTCGGGGGAACCGGCGCAAAATCTCTTCATCCGCCGCTTTCAACAGCTTTTCGTTCAGCGGATCCACACTCCAAGGGAATCCCAGCTCGCGGTCAATGCCTTCCGGTAGAAACTTGAGGTTTGGAGTACAACGCCAGCCTGTCGAGCATATCAGCGCTGAAGACGACAGCGCATCACCCGATGACAGGTGAACAGTGTGATCCGAGAGACGCTCTAGATCAGCGATGTGCACCTTGATAGTGCCATCCTTGACCAAATCAAAGAAATTGGTTGGGTAGTTCAGAATACTGAGCGAGGAAGCAATCCAGAATGGGCTCACCCAAGGCTTCAGCTTCTTCGTCTCCGGGTGCTTGTCGTACCCGTTCAACTGCACGACATCATCGGCCAGAATAGCCCAGAACGCGTCCACAATCTTACGACCCAGCCAGGTACCATGCAAAAAGCTGCGAATCCCATCATACCCGTCAGCCTCTCCCCAAATACAGGGACTGAACCAGGTCAGCAGGCGTGTTGTGACAAGCTTTTCCAGCCATTTTTTCAGGGGCGTCACGTAGGGAGGCGCCATCCAGATAGGTCCATGACCGGATTCGCGAATGATCCAGTCTACTTTCATACCTGCCGTTGCGCAAGCATAGGCCGCATCCCAGGCCGACTTGGTTCCGCCAAAAACGGTTACGCGCTCTCCAGATTTCAGTACTGCATCTTGATACTGCAGCAGATCGCGACAATGGAAAAGCGGCGCACCGAAAGACTCCTGGCCTTCGAACGTAGGCAGGTATGCCTGTGACGTGATGCCGGTGGCCACGATCATCTTCTTGGTATCGATTATTGTTGTATCTGCTCCGTGCGACACGCTTAACTGCCACGTTCCGTCCAAATTGTGTCGCGCGCTTTCCACGTGGTGTTCCAGTCGAATACAATCGGCAAAGTTAAAATGTTGTACATATGCCTCCATGTATTTTTGAATTACATGGCCCGGAATATGCTGTCCAGGCTTGATACCAAAAGTCGCTTCGTCCATTGGGAAGTCGCTATACTCATACGTGCCAAGCATATTGTTCGACTTGAGGCCTTTGTACAAACGGTGTTTGGCCCATACCCCGCCAATAGAGCTGGCAGTTTCCAACAATAGCACATTGTGGCCGGGATTGACCTCGCGGTAGGTCTTGACGGCGGAGAGCCCACTCCAACCTATTGGCCAATGCTTGTCAGCAAAATAGTTTGCGACAGTGAAGATTCAACTTACCTGCGCCTACCACAACAAGATCCACGGTCTCCATTGTTGAAGACTCCCTTGTTTTCGTCTTTAGAGGCAGAAAATAAACCGATTGCGCGACCAGGATTGATGCTTTATGTACAAGCAAACAAGGCGAGCGGCCAAATTACTGGAAACGAAGGAATGAGCGATAACTAAAAGTATTAGCGTCGAGTAGTACTTTTTTTGGGTTTTGAATTTTTAGCCCTTGCTGTTCAGGACACCCGGGAGGATGGAATGGTGGGACTATTAAATTAACTCACCTAAAAAACCCCACGACGTTGTCAGTTCCCGCCAACTTCAGCATGGCTTGTACCTCCTGAGACAGAGCTCGTGGTTCAAAAGGGCCTGAGACATTTAAAGGACCAGAGGTTTTGAGCTGATGATTCTATAATGGCTACCCGTGAACCTAGTCCCAGACCCCTTGCCCCATCTGGGTAACAGACTACCTACTACGGAGTACTTGGCATGCACTTGACTACTTTGTACTCCGTACCGAGAGGTACCGATACCCCTTCAGTGTCACCAGGGGCTCTTCGGGAGAATTCGAATCAGCACTGAATCTTTTAGATTCTCCGTCGTTTGACTATTTTAGCCCTGCTGTCAAAGCGTGGCCAGGCCCACGGGGATCGTCAGTTCTTCTAATCTTAGGTAGTATCTCAGCGTTCATAAGGGTACTACGGAGTACTCCGTACTCCGTGCGTAGCGAGGTGTGAAGCCATACTCCACTGTGATTTTAAATAGTTTCGACGGTGGAAACCCCGTGGCTGGCGTTTGGATTACCAATTTTGTGGAAGCCAGGATCAACAATATGCGGGTTGCCGTTTTCGGTTGGTATCTCAATTCGACTATTGGCCGTAGTCCAATTCAATTGATTGATCTCATGCAAATTATTTGACAACAATACAACAGTGTACGGAGCACGGTGTACAGAGTACAAGGCTCATAGTTGTCGCTTGAGAATCGGATGAACATCGAACGGCCCGTTTCTCGGAAAATGACCCGTTTTGGGATCCACCAAGTCGCTGGAAGTCGGAATATACCGCTATCGTCAACATGTCATACATTTCAATTTGAAACATAGCATGTCGTTTGAGATTATGCACAAGGTTAAGGTTATTACTTCGTAGATAAATGGAAGCTGTCAAGCCATAATCCGTGCCGGAAACCGTGGCCTGATTCAGTACTTATGATATCTCCTGGACTCATTTGACGCGGTGTAGAAAAAACGGCACCGATCGGATATATATGACTGGTCTGAGAGCCCGCTAGTCCTACATCTCCTGTTACCTACATATCCTCGGAGCAATCTCCGGCTCGATCAGCAATCAAACCAACTCAAAAGAGAATGTGGATCAGAGAAATCAATACATATATACTCCGTATTTGGCCTGGCTATAAGATTGTATGGCATCTTCCCCTAATGGCATACATATGATTGGCTAAAACGCGCAAGCTTTATGCTGCGCTACTCCGTATGTCTCTGAGCTGGTCTGTTTGCATGTCATAGATCGCAGGGAAACCCAAACAAAGCCCCGTTCGCATTGCGGTTTATTGCTGCTTCTCAAAATTGGCCCGGTTGATATTATGCCGGACCGTACGGAGTAGTATTCGTGTGTAACCGAAAAAAAAAAAAAATCTCAGGTCAGACAAAGGAAGTCTATCAGGGTACTCCATATTGGATCGAAAAATCGCCCTTTGCTACGATCATTCCCACTTGGGAATGTTATATCGACTCAGGGGATGTGTGGACCTTTTGACTGCCGATCTACATTTCCAAAAACCAGTCATCTAGAAGTGGAACAAACGGTGCTTTCAACCTTAAAACTTTTCCCCGGCAGTTAGGACCCATAGCCCGGGCCCAGCACCAAATGATATTCCATCGCTGTCCAATGAGACTTGTGCATGCTGCCACTCTTGCATGAGAAGACTGGACCTATCATAAATTCCGTTCACATGTGAGAGTATTCCCATATTAGACTGCGTTTGCAGTTCAGTTTAATGGGCGCCACAATAAGTAAGCAGGCCAACGGATATTTGAGATCGATACTGTCGTTGCTTTTTCTTCTATTCGTTGGTGTTGATAAGTGGACTAACGAGCGGGCTTGCTTCTTTATCCGGTCTGGTTCCAATAACAACGAGCGAGGTCAGAGGAGATCATTGGGATACTTTCTTCTGCCGCTCGTTTCCCCTCGGTACAATTGACTTTCTCTCCCTTTATCTGAATGTACACCCTGGGTTGAATGGTCCTTTTCTTTAAATTTGATGGCATATCGCCCGAAGGAATCACCGCAAGTCGTCAACTATGGATGGGTTCAATACCGAAGCGTTCACCTTGTTGGGGGTAGCCATTACCGTAATTGGCCTACGAACAACTGCAAGATGGATTATGGTTGGCCTAAAAGGGTTCCAAGCTGATGATTATCTAATGCTGGTGGCATGTGTGAGTTGAATTGGAACCTGGGTTCCCTTTGCTTTCAGCTTGCTAATCAATATGGGGTATAGGTGGTGTATGGGCTAGAAACCGGCGCTGCGTACATGGTCGGCGCGTGGTTCATGGGCCTTGCCAATAATGCGATGACAGACGAAGAGCGAAGAGAGTTGTCGCATGATTCGGAAGAATATCGCCTGCGTGTGGGCGGCTCTAAGGTCCAGGTGGCCGGCTGGTCACTATACACTCTGTTATTATGGTTGCTGAAAACATGCATGGCCATTTTCTACTCTCGATTGACGTGGGTTTTGATTCGATTGCATCTATTCGGTCCTTTGTCACTGACGTATATCCTACTCTTTAGCGCAGGATTAGTGAATATGCGAATCCGAATCCATATCGCCTACGTTCTCATTGCCATAACTTATATTGCAACGGTTTGTTCAATTCTCTTCGGATGTCATCCAATGGACAAAAATTGGCAAATATATCCAAACCCTGGAAGTGCGTCATATCTTCTCATCCTGAGAGACTGTGTCTCTGACTATTCTTAGATTACTGCCAGCCCGCCGTGTCCAAGATTGACATCTATGTGACCGTGGTACTCAATGTCGCGACCGACCTCTATTTGATTAGTATTCCAGCACCGGTAAGCCTCGCTCTAAACATCTGTGTCTAATGTTGCTAACGACACATGCATAAAGATGCTTGTTAAAGCCCGACTAAAATGGCGGGAAAAGCTCGAGCTCTTGGTTCTTTTTAGCGGTGGCCTCTTTGTCATGATGGCTGGTATTCTGCGTTGTGTTCTCATCTTAACAGTAAGTTGTATTGAGAGTTACTTGCTGGAATAACAAAATCTAACAGTTCACCAGGCTGGCGCAAATGGGGCTCAACAAGCTGGCAGCTGGGCCTGCCGCGAGACTTTCGTCGCCGTCATCATCGGCAATATTCCCATGATATACCCATTGATAAGACGATTCACAAAACGTGCTGGTCTGTACATCACATCAAGGAATGAGTCAGAGAGTTACCCTGGCTACCATCTATCAGATGCCGATACTGGCGGCGGGTATTCCAAACGCAAGAAGTTCCGCCATCCACTATCGATTCCCGGAGACACTCAATGGAATACAATCAGCGACGAGCAAATGATCTTGCCTACCTCGCGACAGCAACCGCCTACATGCACCGCAGGCGACGGCGACTGGGAGTCACAGAGCCAGAGTAGCCAGGGTGGAATAAAGGTTGTTCATGAAACAATTGTTCATAGGAGTGAGAAGTCCCAGCTATAGCATGAAGATGAGTATTTGAGCGTTGGGATGTCTTATATCATTTATTTTATTTTCCGTTGTACATATTTTTATACCCAATATCGGCTGGGCTTTCTGTTCTTTTTTGCTTTTCTTATGTATCCAAACTACATTCAGTTCCACCAGAGGAATTCGCAATCCGACAGACTAATACGGAACCTGTTTCTAGATCAAATTGTAAGAGGGACTGTAATTTGAACAGATTCGAATCCGTGAACCTTGTTACACACACACAATTTTATCTCAGCTGAGGAGATGCAAAGCTCCTTGTCAAGTCTTGCATCAAGGGTGGGGATTTGATTCCGATCGAACTATGCAAGGAGGATATGTGCTCAGGGCGAAGTGAAAGGAAGAAATAATCATGGAAGTTGACTAGTTAAAATGAAGGAAACTAACTAACCAACTAACTATAGCGAACGAATAGGAGGCCTTGGGAGCCAGGTAGTGGTGCAAGTGACGCGATGGCTACCACTTTCTGCAAGTCATAAAGTGCTTCAAGGGTACTTGTGCTTTCTTTTTCTCTTTGATTCCCGAATACACCTAGCCTATCTGAATTTGGTATCACGTATGATCATGAAACAGCCCGAGTTGGATTAAATATGCTGGAAAAATGAGTGTTGGACCGAACCTGCGTTAGAATATTGCAACATTCCTGTAATTCTATAGTAGTAAAATCGAGCCCTATGATGATCGAAAACATGTGGCATAATATTGAATCCTTCTCTAATCCTCCAGTTTGTAGGTTGTTATGTTACTATCTGCTTTCGCAAGGAGTCGCATATCGGCACATCGTACGTTTGTTGTAGAATATAAAGGATATGGAGCAAGCCAGGGACCCTTGATGAACTATGTACGTTCAGGACAGTCTCCAATTCAACTGAAGGTATTTGAGTATATTTGAATATGTTATTTGGACTTTTTTGGTATCTTCCACAGGACATGTGCACGTGATATGAGTGTCAGATATGTAGTGTTAGAGAGCAGCCAGAAATTCTAGCTTCGATTTCGATGAGTCTCCATCTCGTAGATGGAAGGGTCATTATAACGCATATCGGAAAAAGGGATTCTGCTTGTCGGTGAGATCGTCAAATGCAATCTTGTCTCGCTGCACCTCATCCAATTCCAATGATTCCCGAATTCGGTTTTCCCGCCGAAGGACAAAGTACAACACGACTGCGGCAGCAATTGTGATACAGTAGCTATACTTCGTTAGAGTAGTCCAACAAGAAAAATCAGCTACGGACTTACCAGATGATCATCCCAGTCCAGAGTTCTGGATAATGCTGTGACTTAGTCTTGCTTTTCACAAGCTGCGGCCCGATGATGTTGCCGACAGTGTAAGCCACAAACACGGTTGCTGCCATGACGGTCTTCTTCGTGGCTCCGGCGACGTTGCTAGCTCCAATTGTGATGACCAGGCTTACCACTGGCCCAAAGAAGCCAGTTAGCGCATAACCAACAACTGGAGTAACTGGATGATATCCCCATTGGGATTTCCAAATCATCACACAGCCAGCAATAACAGGCAGGCAGCACACAATGAGCAAGGGTATGCGGGTATTAGGGACAACAGTAGGGATATAACCACAAAGAGGAATGAAAATGACACAAATGCCGCCGACGGGAAACTGGAATAAAATCGAATGAAGCGTATCATAGCCGAAGGTGGATACAATCAACGGCCCAAAGCCCGAGATAGCGCCATTGATAGTGTACCTATATTTAGAGAGGTTAACATCAAGGAATGTATGCTGCCTAATTGTTATTAGGGTGGTATAACGAGAGACGAAACTCACGCTGCTGCCATCATGATAGCCACTAGATAGATCTTAATGTCCATCATAGACTCTTTGATCTGATCGAATTTGATCTTCTGGCACCGAACACCAGTTTGCCCTTTGCGTAGTCTCTCAACAGCAACCCTTCGTTCTTCTAGGGTTAAGAACCAGGCAGAAACCGGAGAATTAGGCATGGTGCAACACCAGAGGCCAAACAAAAAGGTCAAGGCACCAGCCAGAATATAGATGTACTGCCATCTTTTCAATGATCCAGCCGTGATTTGGCCAAACCCATAGTTCATGGCGCCACCGATGATAGTGAACCAACCGGTGCCAGAGAACCACCATGCCTGTCGAAGAGCCTGCTCCTCTTGGGTGTACCACCCGCTGACTATGGTCATGAAGCCCGTGGGAATAACACTTTCGATAAAGCCTATCTTTTATTAGATAAGAGATTAGTAAAAGACATTGAAGGTCACATACCGAGGAAGAATCGTTGGACAAAAAGCCCTTGCCAGGTTGTCACACCGGCGGTGGCGGCACAGACAATGGCCCATGTCAGGACAACTGGACCAAGGACAATTCGAGTATTAAATCTTTGCAAGATAAATGTCATCGGGTAGAGGCCAGCAAGCATTCCAAAATAAAAGATCGACGTTGCCCAGCTGAGCCGTGAAGTATCAGCAGAGGGAGGAGAAGTGGAATAGTCTTTCACTAGCAATCCCAAGTCGGTCGTCATGCCAAAGAGCGTGGCACTACCTAAGATAGCCTATGAGAAATAAGTATATATTGGCTAACAAAGCCATCGGCGCAGTCATCGCACCTTGTCATAGTACACCATGCCGTAGCCTGTGTTCGAGTTAGTCAACAATTCCCATGTCACGGATATGAAGCGTATAACTAACCTATAAGCATGGCAGGCATCAAATACAAATCAATCTTTCGAAGAACCCTTTTTTCCACGACCGGATCAATTTCTTGGGCGAACTCGCTCACTACCGCCAAAGCTGCATCTTTTTCGGACGAGACGTGGGGTGATTCACCGGCGCTAGTTATGCCATGGACCTGAATCATGTTGTCCCACCAAGATGCCTTCCCTGAACGTTGCAGATGGAAGAATCTATATGTCTTTTGAATATGACTATATGCAACAATTAAAGTGGGAGACGAGCGAAAATTTGTTATTTAGACTTCGTACCTTCCAAATCGGGATGCCCGATATCGCGTGTGGCCTTACATTACCGCCTTTGCATTATGGCAGAATTAGCGACGATCGGAGAAAAGCGTCAATCACTTACCCAGACGGTAGCACGGAGCACCATCATCGATAACTGAGTTGAAGATGCCGATGCCTTCAAAATGGGATCTTAATGAGGATATTCCATGATTGCGGAGCGAAGCGTAGCATAGCAAATAAATCAGGTCTTACGTACGTGTCACGTGGCCAAGTTTTCTCTCGGGGGGCTGAAATAATAGCGTTCTAATGTTCCATCATGTGACCAGGTAAGGTCACGTGGCAAAGTTTCTCCGAAGGCTGAATTATGACAAAAGCAGGGAGTTGATCTAGCCGGGTGGTCGCTGTGAAGCCAGTAAGCCAGTAAGAGGGGGGGCTTTGCGCAGCATTAGAAGTCAGAATCAGTCGCTTTGCTCTGCAACGACTATCTGTAGGCCGGCGAGATCACTCGTATGGATATCAAAGGTCTCGAATCTATGGATTTCAAGAGCTTTTCGAATAGTATATGTCCTCCCTTAAATCCGACAGAATGGTTTCCTCCGAGGTCTAGTATTGCTTGTTGAAGAGCGAGCTAGGAACATTTGACAAGATCTTCCGCATCCGGAGGTGCATGAAGTAATCGCATCCATGGATGTTTGCGCTGCCACGTGACCATATGCCATGTTGGTTACGTTGAACCTGTATGATGTCATCAAGTTTCAGTCCTTCGAAGTCTGTCAAAGTTGATCAAGCCAGGAAAGGCTACGGGATAAACGAGGCCGAAAGTTCTATATCTTTGACCTATAAACTCTTTGCATCGAGCTTTCAGCTTAGTTCAAGGAAGTCTAGGGGAAAGGGCTATGCTATCAGTGCCTATCACTACCCATCTCATCGACCAGGACTCAGGAGGCCCACTCAATTGTATCAACTTGTTTTGCTTCTCTTGACTGAATATGTGATGACACAAGCTTTGTTCACTTTCCGGTATGAAATATGGGTACTGACGTACTTAAACGGGCTGGCCTATAAAGCAGACTCGTGGGCTGATAAGTGTTAACATCTGATTCCTTCATCAATAAATTCCAATTTCGCAAACTCAAATATCTTGCATCAATATTTCCCACAATGACGATCAAATTCACCGTATACAGGGGCTCCAAGGATGGAATCAAACAGGCGGAGACTGAGCGGGAGGACCTCAAACGAGACGAAGTCTTAGTACGAACCACGCATTCGGGGGTGTGCGGCACCGATGTTCACTACCAGTCAGCCGACATGGCCCTTGGTCATGAGGGAACGGGTGTGGTGGAAGCAACTGGCCCAGACGCGAAGACTTTGACGAAAGGCGACCGCGTGGGTTGGGGTTATGAGCATGACTGCTGTGGTTCTTGCAAGCAATGCCTCACCGGGTGGGAGACATTGTGCAGCAAGCGAAAAATGTACGGCCTAGCCGATCTCGATCAAGGATCTTTCGGTACCCATGCGGTGTGGCGTGAAGCCTTTTTGTTCAAGGTTCCCGACAACATGAGCAACGAGGATGCGGGACCATTGATGTGTGGGGGATCGACTGTTTTCAACGCCCTCCATGTCGCGCAGGTTCGTCCGACCGCTCGCGTTGGTATCGTCGGAGTAGGCGGCCTGGGACATCTGGCTATCCAATTCGCTGCAAAGATGGGCTGTCAAGTCGTGGTCTTCTCCGGCACAGACAGCAAGAAGGAAGAGGCGATCAAGCTGGGAGCCGGCGAATTCTATGCGACTAAGGGTGTGAAGGAGTTGAAGGTCAAAGCTCCTATCGACAACCTCATTGTGACGACTAGCAGTCAGCCAGATTGGTCAATGTACTTGAGTATCATGGCTCCCAGTGGTGTCATTTCTCCTCTGTCTGTCGACTCAAACGATCTCAAAATCCCATATATGCCGCTGCTCGTGAATGGCCTTCGGATCCAAGGAGGTATCGTGGCTTCAAGACAGGTCCACAGGGATATGCTTGA